ATCCAGTCTTATCAAATTCTTGCTTGCATTTTCAAGTAAATAAGAGAAGCAAACAATACATTTCACAAATGACAGTAAGAGGGAAAGTGTAACGGTGTGACAGGATAAACCCTTTCAAAAGAATTTAGAAGACCAGTGACAACGAATGAAACTAGACTCAAAGAACAAGCAAGAAGAAAAGATGAAAAGTATGGAAAGAGCCTAGGTGGGGCAAAAATGCTACCCCTTATATCTGCTTCTCAAAGATACAATTTAATGTTTATTTACATACTGATACACTTTCATTTATAAAGGTAACATCTTTAAATTTAACTCATACAGGGTTATGAGGAGGTCTGTGATAACAGTGTAGGTTTTTGATCAAATTTCACTCTCGTATGTAAATAAGGAGAGGATAAAAAGTAAATTTTGTCTCAGGTTTTTGGTTCTTCAAATACCCTTTGTAACATTAGCCTTCTCGCTAGGCATAGGACAGCAAAAGTAGTCAAGTAAAGACCAATAAGGCAAGAGAAGAGCAATGCTAACAACTTTTTTATTGTTCCTCTCCCAACACATAATAGATAGATCCAAGATAACTATAGATGTCTGCAGCTGAACCAGGCATCAGAGAAAAAAAATGTTTTTAGAGATCATCTTACCTATTTTATACCTTATACTCTAGGAAGAGAAAATTTAATTGACCAGGTTTTCACCAACTTTAAAGGGAACCCATCGCTGGCATAAAAGTCCCTTTACTTAAGTTTCCTAAACACAAATATCTAATATTTGTCTAACCACCACCTGCCTCCCATGAAGGGTGCATCCTTCTTGTAAGTCCTGTTCATTGGCACAGTAACACTGTCTCAGATATCCCAACACATCTTCAATAACACTGGACACTGTATTTAGGTGACTGAATCAAGTACTGCTTGTTTACTAACATTTACTCAAATTAGTTGAAGTAAACTTGTCCACGAAGTGAATCTGCATTCATTTCCCCACTAATGTTAAGATGCTGCCTCTTAGTTTTCATACCATCAGCAGAATATTGCTAGTTAATGAGGCTCAAAGTGTCTGGGATAAAAGTTTTAACCCGTGAATTTAATTGTTTTCTGAGATGACTTAGATCACAATGTGTTGTATCTGCAAGAGAAACTTGAAACTTAAACACTGAAACTAATGAAACTGAAACCTTTTACTAAATGAATGAGAAGAACTGTATATAACATTCTCCTAGAAAAGCCTCATTTTCAGCATAATATATTGTCAAAAGTTAAAAATTTCATCTGAGTGAAAATGTAACAATGTTGTGGTATTTTTAGTGTTAAAGCCTAGAAAAAACACATGAATAACAGATGATTGTCCTAACTAGATGTTGTACTAACTGTCCTCCTTTGCAATCCAGGTTTTGCCAGTATAATTAATGGAAGATGTATGTGTGCAGAATTTGGACAGTTTGGGAGATACTGAACTTCCTGGCAGCCAGCTGAGACACTATTTTGCACAATAAGCAACACCTAAAGTGAACGTCCTGTAAAAATAATTAGGATTAGACTGAATTAGCAAAGCAAAAAATTATGATTAGAAAAACCCTGAAATTGTTTATTGCTATTTTGAAGATAAAGATGTTAATTTAATAGCAAAATTAGACTGGATTATAGAAATGGAGGTTTTACCAGATGACTCCAGTGATCCCTGCCAACCTAAACCATTCTCTGATTCAGAGGCAACCTTCTATCTGAAATAAGTTGAAAAGATCATTTCCTCACAGGAATACCTTTCAGATTTATATAGTCACACAATGCATAACAGCATCATGTTCTTAATTTGTACTTGATGAAGCTAATTGGTGAAGAGACTAAGCAGGGGTCTCCACACCCTCTGTTGACTGCAAAAGCGACTGATGTTTCTGCTGGAATGCAAGTGGGATGTCTGTTTTGTGAACATATCCATGGTGGGGCTCAAAACAGAAATCTTCAGACTGCAAATTCATATAATGCACACCAGAAATTCACATTTGTTCCTGTTCCTTCTGCCACACAGCAGTAAATATCTCAGCTTGATTTCACCCTTTTTCAACATTCATCCTACATTTTTTGCCAGCAACAGTCTGTTTTCCCCTATGTTAATAAAGGCTTCGTAAATAAGCTCTAGTGATCCATGTTCCACAATCCCCAAGAAAAACTATTTACTCAGAAGTATGGCAAAGCTTGTCTAATATTTACTGATGTCTGTGTCACAATAAAAGTGCTTGTACACAAGGGAAAAAAAAAAGAGGGAAAAAAAAAGAAAATTAAAGGAACAAAAGGATATTTGTTTCCTTTTTTTGCATTAACTACACTGAAATAACGGAATTGTTTGGAAAATTAATCTATAATGCTAAAAGCAAGCATGCAGATAACAATTTTAAATCTCCTTCTGTCTGAACTGTGGGGTAGATTAATGAGTTTATAGCATTTATTTATTTTCCATAAGTGAGGCACTTGTAAATGGACATCTCGTTCAAAAGATTTGAATGTAGTGATGTTAGTGGTCATTGTGTTTTTAATATGGATTTTGTTTGTCTCAAGCATTCTCACTGCAAATGTTATGTATATGATCCAGACATGGTTTTACTGAAAGTGATGATTTAAGAATATGAAACTGTGAAGAATTACCACCAGGTTAGCAAGAACGTGAATTTGCATTGCCTGTTCTGTGCTAATTGCCTGGAGACCTACTCATATTCCAATATACAGCAAAGTAGCCACCTTCTTCACTGAGGAGTAAGATACCTTGCTTTTGTCATGTGGCCAAGCTCTGCGTGCAAGTACTCAAAAGAAATAGCCAACATAGAGTGAACTCACACCATCATTTAGCTCCTCATTCCTGTTCATGCAGGACAGTACAGTACAACACAACATTCTCGTGCAAGGTGACCAGACTCAATTACGTGTTTGTGCCTGTCTGTTTACCTGCAGCGTGTTAGTCTGTGGCTGTAGGTGAGTGCTTCATATTTATGTTTATGAATGTGTATATATTCTAGATTTCTACATATTTTAGAGATGTTTTATTTAAGATCATGGTACCAACATTTCCATTTCAATCTCCTGCTTTTAAGAATGTATAAATTAATGATAGAAAGTTTTGCTAAGTTGAAAATTAGTTCTGTCATCAGCCTAGGAAAGGGGTTTTTTAACAAATTTGTAAATATAAAGGCAGTGAATTCACCCATCTTTTTAACAATCTGAAAGTACGGAATAGGTATTTCATTGGGTTTAGATTTGTATGGATGATATTCTCATATAATTCAAAAGTGTTTCTTTTTAAAAAACATAAATTTTAGGAAAACCATTTTAAGTGTTTACCAATGACTTGCCTTATTCCATTATCTTATGCTAATGAAACTTCTGTCAATTGAGAAAATTTGTAGATGAAGTCCTACTGAAAATACAAGATGAGCTTGGAGACACAAAATTTAGTCTAGAGAGCTGAGTCAGGGATAGAAAGCCCAAAGCTAAAGTACTATTCTTTGTATCATCTGTTGTGATGCTATAGATAAGTCGGAAAGGCCTTCAAAAGATACCTGAACACCTTGAGCGAGACCTCTGAGTGACTGTGCGTCTGTCTTTGTGAGTCTTCCTAGGAGTGCTTACGGTCTTTTTGCACACCTCCACCTAGGTAGGTCTCAAACAAGTATTGTGTCCTCCTGCTTAAACACCAAGTGTATCATGCAGTGGTTTCTGATGTAATTGTGGCTAATGCACTATTACGAAATAAAACCAGGCAGACTTACAAATACCACCAGATCTAAAATGGTTGTGCCCGTGCTCTGAGCTGCTGGAACTCAAACCAGCACTGGCCCAGGCACCAAACCTAGTAACATGCAACCTCCTCAAAGGCAAAGCACTTTAAGCTGGGTAGATGACACATGGGCCCAAGGCCTCTGGTTCAAAACTAATCACATTCAGCCAATGTAGAGCATGACCAAAGCAAGCCCATACAGAATATGAGTATATTCCTAAGGCTGGCAAAGACCCTGCTACATCATGAACTAGAAGAACACCAGGACACCAGAAGTGGAAGGACTCTACCACAGGGACCCATACAAGATTTTTGCTTTGTATGATGCTTTTTTTTTAATTATGTGGTAAAAGCAATGGGAAGCAAGAGACATGAAAAACAATGGCTTCAGAATGAAAATATTCAATGTACTAAAACAAGCAAGCAGAAAAACAATAGCAGAGAGTGAAGCAAGGCAGTAAACCAAAGGACTGGAGAACAGAAACAGAAGATTATGATCTTATTACACAGTATACCTTACTATATACTAACAGAGCACTGAAAAATAAAAAAAATAATTAAATTACTACTACCATCCAAGAGAGCTTCCTTGTCTCTTCACCTCCTTCTCCCAGCCATATATATTCATTTCTGATTGTATGTGGCCATAATATGGTTTCATGCTAGTAGAAGACCTGTTATACTCAATGGTCTATTGAGGTCCATAAAGAGAGGGTGAATGTTTAATACATCAGAAGGAAGTTGCCTAGAGATCACATAGTTCATGCTTCATCTTACCGAAGCATACGAGACCAGAGTTGTGCCTGTGACTATAAATATCCCAAAAAGGAAATCCTGACCTTATTGCAGTCAAACTTACATAATTCATGTCAATCTCAATGGGTCTAGACTTCACCTAGAATTTGTGTATGAACCTAAAACTGATTCAAAACTCTACATAATTTTATATGCAGAAAAGACTTAGCTGCACAACCATATTGCTAGCCATTCTCATTACATAACTTCTGCAAAACTCTGCAGCTACTAAATTGTTTCTTAAAAAATACTTATATTTTAAGAGTTAATTATTCATATTGGATGTCAGAACTGTTGTTCACTATGGCAGATCCTGTCGGCATGTCTAAAGAACACAGAAATTTAAACAGAAACATTTTCATGCATTTTCTGTGCACGTTTGTGCCTAAGGATGAAAGAAAAGGTACAGGAAGAACCGAAGTACTACTTGGTTTTTACCATACCTGAGGGTAGCTGTCAGTCCTTGGAAGAACAGATATATCATAGGTGGCAGCAAAATGACTCTTAGCTTGCTGGATCTGACCATAGCGTTCTCTTTTCCTCCATTTTGCTCTTCGATTCTGGAACCAAACCTACAGTGTATGAAGAAACATTCATCAAGTTAAACTCAATTACATACTGTGCAAAGAGCTTGAGGAAAAAATCAAGGGGTTTTGGACAGTAGCTTTGAAAATTTCTGCTTATCTAAGAAAGGGAAGTTCTATGCCTGAGGATGAATTTCTTGCAGTTTCAATCTTCTCAATGTCAGACCTGCTTAAGTTACTTCTGGCTATTTTAAAAGTATGTATTATTTGCTTTCTAGTGTATCAAAAAAAAAAAAAAGCAGAGGAAAGATCAATCTGTCAGGCAGCACTAATTTTGACAGAGTACAGTTCTGTAGAGGAAAATCACTAGGTAGCAGCAAGTCAAATTATAAAGAAACTTTCTCTTAATGTCACGTGCCTACCGACTTTATATGACTACATACAATCTGACTCCTAGAGGTATACATAATCTTTACCAAGTGCAGTGATGAAAAGGCAGGAAAAGCTGGCACCAGGACAGTAGTCTGCACTGCAGAAAAAGTTTCTATAAGGGGCAGGGCAGAAAGATAATAAAAAATCATGAGATCGTAGACAGTTTTAAAACTATTGTGACTTTTTTTCCACATTTCTGTTAGGAGACATCTATGTTTCTGACAATGGAAAACTAAAAAATGGCACTTTATGTTTAGACTATGAAATAATTTAGACCTGAAACCATCCTTTGTTGTCAACTAAAAGCTATTTTCTTTATGCTTAAATAACCTTTGGACTGTTCTGTAACATTTTGAGTGTCAGGTGTTATCTCAAAATCTATTATATGCACATTTCTTGCTGTGACCGATACCTGTTATTGTCCTGTGGTCTTAAAAAAAAAAAAAAAAAATCTTTCCAACAGTTTAGTTTGGACTGGCTAAGACTTATCCTGATGAATTAAAGGGATTGCTAAGAAAAGTAACCTTTCCTTTATCAAAGTATTATCCAACTAAGTCTTTATTATTCAACTATGAGCAAGCTCATTCCTACTCTTTTTAAAGAAGACACACTACTGAAAGAACCACTGTTTTTTGTATGGAAACAATTACATTGGTTAAACTTCCTGCTAAATTGATCATGAGCCCATTTGGATTGATATGTACATGAATAGATTTTTTTTTATAGACACTGCCTGCGAATCCCATTTTGAGGGATATTTTCTGATCCTTGACAGTAGCATATTTAAAACAACAGTGTTTGTTTTATAATTCAGTTTTTGCCTTGGTCTTTGGAGAACTCAACTGTCCTTTGATGCTGCTTAAGCAATCAGGGCATAATTTTGCTCATTTTAATTCCCAAGGACTTGTAAATTTAGTATGTGCAATCTTTTCAAATGTGCTCGGCAATCAAAACAAGGCCCATGCATGTAACTGCTGAGTATATATTGTTGGTAAATTTATATTATTTATGATGCCTGAGGCTGAGCAAAAAGAAAAGAACAGGGGAAAAAAAATTGTCCTGTCTCCACAGGAGGCATCAAGAACATGCTAAGAGAATTTAGTAATGAGGCTCTTTCATTGAAAAAAGACCTTGACAATCTCCTTAAAATGGGTGCCAATTACTTCACTGACATGCAGCAGGAAAGAGAACAACTTAGATAAATTAGGTTCAGGTTGGCGCTCTCTGCATGTATGCAGGACAAATATTAAATTGGATCTTGATGAAATGGCGGTGAAGGGAAATGTGGGTAAGGTATCCAACTGATCGCTCTGCTAAACTAAATCAAACAATTTGCTTGAATTTATAGTAACTAAACGAGAAAAAAAGCACATATTTTTTTTCCTTTGACAATCCCCCAAAATGTTTCTGTTTACATCACTTTACTAGAAACTGACTCTTGGCAGAGATAAAGTAACCATTTGCCTCCACAAAGCAATGTAAAAATCTGCTGCTTGTTATCCTTGAATTGCCAGATGCTTGCCTCTAATGATGTAAGGCCTTTTAAATTGCTTAATCTTGTGATGGAATACTGTTGCTACTCTGGATAAAAATGATCACCATTTCCTTTCATATTTAGCATATGAGAAATGCAAAGATCGGTTATCTTTTAAGAAAGGGGAGAACATGTTTAAATAAAATGGAAATAGATATTCTGTGAAAGTCTGGTACAGACATATATGTTAGCACATTTACTTTCTTATTTTTAATACTTTTACCATATGTATCTTCTAAAACTTATTTTAAAATGCGATAAAAAGTCATTTGGCACAATTTAGCCCTCCCTGTTCTGACTATTAATTTATTCTTGGAGTAGTTCTCATTATTCCAGAACTATGTAATTGTAAGAACAGTGTTTTAACATTATGCAAACTTTTTTTTTAGTCAAGACTAAATCCTAATGAATGGAAGTCATACTTGGAAAACTGTACCAAATTCAGTTGGTAGAGGGAGAGGGATTGCACAGAGCTTGAAGAGTTAAAAGCCACTGAACTAAATTCCGTCAGCATCACTGATATCATATCGATGTAACTGACACAGGATTTTGGACTCTATTTTCCGATGACAACAGTGAATATGCTGTCTGGTTGAACAGACATGAAAAGAACACTTCTTTATAAAATTAATTAGATGAGTTCATTTCTGAAAGTGATCCTGATTTAATTTCAGTTGTATGTATGTGCACTGACGTCTAGTTCTTTATATGCATGTGTGAGTATGTGTTTAATTACAAGTTGTGAAGTTGTTATCGTATTCAAGTCACTAAATTAAGAAAATTAATCCCAGTCTGTAAGAATCGACAGGACTGTTGTTCTCTAAATTGAAATGATGAGTATTACCAGAATGGGGAAGATCTCTAAAAATAGGATAAACTCACAAAATGCAGCTCATACCTTTTTCTAAGGGAAGATGTCTGAACGGGGGAAGGGCTGCATTTCCTGGGTATTTAGCTTCTTTTCTTACTATTACACATCCAAAGCCATAAACATTGCTGAGATTACTGTATGAGCACATATTGAATGAATCAACTTTGTACACAGTTAAGATACTCAAATACTGCACTAAGTGGTCAACAGTATGTTTCATTAAAAAAATTAGAATAACATTATCCATCAGTTATACAAGTTTAAAAACCAGCAAATGTACTTCCAATTTTTGTGATTTTTAAGGTCATTCCATACAACAGAAATGAAAGGATTATGTCCTTGCTCTACACAGGCACAAACATACATATATATATACACATATGTGTATTTATACACATCTATGTATGTGTGGTTTCACTGCACACTCTTTGGATCTAAACAAGGAATTTGATTACTTTTTAGATTGTAGTGTTCATGCCGTAACACACACAGAATCCTCTGCAGCTGAGTTCTTCACCGTCATCGGTCTGAACTACATGCAACATTTCCCTTTAATGGGATCTTTACACGTAACACTTTATGTATTCACTGCCTGGAATTCTGACAGTAAAACAGGACTACCAGAGATCAAGACTGCTTTACTATTGATGTTGTTTTGTCATCCTTTAAACAAGTTTCTAGAACAGCAACACAAGCTATTTTTAAAAAATAACAAGTTATTTTAGTACTGCAGCATAACAGCTCATATCCATAAAAAATAAAGCAAAACGAGCTCTTTACTTCAGCTTTACGGGCTTTTGTACAATTCCCAAGAGTGTCATTTACCAGTACCTACAATGCACAACTTGTCATGGAAACGCTGAAGTTTGGTTCCTACCTGGACTCTGGCCTCAGTGAGCTCTGTTCTCAGAGCTAGCTGTTCTCTTACATAGACATCAGGGTAGTGAGTTTTCTGGAATACTTTCTCCAGTTCCTCCAGCTGCAAACTGGTGAAAGTCGTTCTGTGTCTCCTCTTCTTACTGCTGGAGACATTGCTGTCACACTTATCACCAAGTTCATCCAGTTCTCCCTTCTCCTGCATCCCTTTCACCGGAGACATCCTGAGATTGTTGCAATTGTCCATGGGCCTGTTCAGCTCTGTGTGAAGAGGCTGTCCTTCCACTTTAGTAATCCCGTAGTTCACTGTACACAAGGTGGGGGAGGGAAATAACTGGTTAAAGGGGGGCTTTGGATTCAAGAGTTCATATAAAACAGTTTTGCAAGGAACAAGATTCTATATGGTTGCGTATTTCTATAAGAGACCGCAGAAGAGGAATCGGTAATATTAACCACAGACGGAGTAAAAGTACTAAATCACATTGAATTTTAACTGAGAATTGTACCTGAAAGTATCACCTACATTCTTTCAGTGTAAGGAGACTGGATGAGAGTATTTGAATATTTTTAGTCTGCCACTAAAGTAGTTAATAATCCATGAAATCAGCTTCAACTAGAGTTGCACAGATAAGGAATCTTAGCCCAAACCAGATTTTCCTATAAGTGGCATAAAGCTATTGACAAACGTGCCTTTAAACTTGGAAGCAGATGTTAAAAAACTCTATTCCTATGAAACTACAAAATAACTGTGAAGTAAACTAAATAGCTGTAAACTGACAAATCAAGAAGCAAATGAAACCGAAAATTAACTTAACTTTACAAACGCAATAGATTCCATATACCTTCTCTTGGATTTGTAAAGTGGAATTGTTTCCAATTAAGTTTGTTATGGTTACAAAATACAGAGAGTTTCTGCAAAATGTTAACTTATTAAAAGAGATCGTTTCATATACTTTGTATAAGGATTGCAGGAACTATTTGTCTTTATGTAAAATCTGAGTGGTAGAGATAAGAAATATTCCTCTGTAGCTTCTTAATAAGAAATGAAAACATTTCCTATTTTTCCTTTTTTTACATATCTCACATCACTGAAAAAGTCATGCGATATGTTACCGGATTCGAAAGGGGTTTTTTTTCTTTTTTTCTCTCAGAAATAAGCAAAAAAAGTTTAAAACTCTTGAAATTAAAATCTACAAAGGTGACATGTAACATACGATAAGAAGCTTGCTTTGGAATTTTCTCGTATCCTCAGAAATGTATTTTCTTTCAGTCCGAGCTTATTTTAACCAAACACAATTTTTAGACACTTACCATCAATACATACATAGATAGGAAATGCCCCGAAGCCCTCAAGGCACACATTAAATGAACTAATTAAGAAAAACTTCAATGTATAAATCAATTTTCTGTAGGTTTTTTTGTAAGTTGCACTTGCAGAAATCTGTAATTATTTCTTGGAAACTGTTTCATACAAAAAGGATGTTCTCAAAAAAATACTTCAATACCTATATGAAGTTAAAAAAATGTAAAATGTTGTTAGTCTCATTATTGCAGCTGATCTTAACCATATTTTCCGATTCTGTTAGGAAAAGGTTTTTTGAATTATTATTACTACACAGGATTTACATCATGTTGGAATAATGGGGAAAATTTTAAATGTTTCCAAAATTCCACATTCTCCTTGCCGATGAGCTAGGAAAAAAAAAAAAAAAATGTTTAACACTGTTGCTTGAATTACCTAAGTGGTTTTCGGTCGGTATGAAGAATCATAAGAAGGTATTCAGTAACACAGAGGAGAAAAAAAAAAGCCCCGCCGCCCTCGCAGAGCGTTATTTGAAAGAACCAAACGTGACCAAGTGACCCTCCGCTTCCATCCCGTACGGGCACCTCGCCGACCGAGCGCCGT